CAAAATGAAGTGGCCAATTCTCATCTTGAATTAATGCTAAATCTCAACTGGTTCTAGCTATATAGTAGTACTATTTATAGCATTAGAGTAATATATGTCACTATATGTAATTTGCTTCGTAATATCTAATTTAAACATGAAATTTACTGACTCTTAGTCTTTTATCCAGACTAAGCAAAGTTAGTTTATATAAAATAAATCACTATTTAGCACTGATTATAGATAAATTGGAATCACTTTAGGATGGATTTATAATAGATAAAATATATGAACATCCTGAAGGAAAAAACATTTGTATAGCTTTAATTCTTATTTCATGTGATATACTGGCTACTAGAAAAATATGTGAATATAATTTGACCTTAGTATTATATTATAGATGTGAAAAGAAGGCAAATTATGAAAATCATCAGCATAATTTTACCAGAATAGATAATATCGATGATTGGTTTATTATATGAGATCTAATTGAATATTATCAAAATGCGTTAGAATGGAGATGCTGCAATTTGGACGCTTTACAAAAATGATTTGTAAAGCAAAGTGGCGTAAGATAGTCTGAATTATTATGTTTACCATATTTTGACTCTATAAAATATGTCACAATTGATCTAATGCATTTCCTATTTTTAGGCATTGCATAATGGATAGTAAAATAAATCTGGATCTATAAAGGGATTTTGACATCAAATTCCCTGAATAAGATTTAGAAAAAGATGAATAATTTTCAGATTCCTTCCGATCTGAGTTAAATTCTAGGTAAAATTCATGAAGGAGAAGGATTTTCTAATTTTACAGCTAATCAGTAACAAATATTTTTACTGTATATACCACTGTTTCACTTTGGGAATATCTTGCAATTGTAGATAGAAAGATTCTTACACATTTTATAAGGATTTGTACAATTTTAGTAAGCCAGATTGTCTATTATATGAAGCACATTAAAGACTAATTAAGATGGTGAAGTTGATTGAAAATAATTACAGACGCAATAAAGTCATACCAAATCTTCACCTTTTTCTCCATTTGTATGATTGCTCAAGAGACTATAGTCTGTTATATGTATTTTAATATTTTTCTTTTGAATACATGAATGGAATATTAGATATTTTTTTATGAGAATTTCTTGAATAAATCAGCTTACTAATTTATGAACGATTTTTAGATTCTTTACTGAATAATAATAGAAAAATTGAACTTGAGCTAATGCATTAATTGATGTTTGATATTCAAATCAGCAGTACTAAAGAGATCCTGAAGAAATGGATTTCCGCATATACTCTAGTAGACTTGATTGATTCACGTATTTATAATAATTTGATGTCCTTACCTTCTGCAGACGAATGGTATAGGATCATTGATTGACTCCTAAACAACAAAGCCTCAGGACCATCTAAAATCTTGAATGAAATGTTAAAACATCTAGGACTGCTTATGAAGAAATGTTTGTGACATATTATCTGTGACTATTTACAAATTTCGTCAATATCCCATCATTAGAATCTGACATATATCTATCCAATTTCTAAACTAAAACTATGAGAATATGACTTAAATAATACTCATCCAATCATCTTACTAGAAAGCACTAGAAAGGCATTTGTTCGCTACTTAATTTAAGACTTGCTGACATTTTTGTATAATATAATATTCTAAAAGGATATAATTTTGTGAGTTTGCTCTTCAAATCTACCTTTGATCTCATTCATATTTTTGATAACATCAAACAAAACACCATTTACAATAATACTGATTTGTGAGTTTTCTTATAAGATATGTCTAAAGTATACAACTGTGTGAATGTCTTTACTCTCGCTGTAGCTTTTGCAAGATTACACCTTCTTGCTAATTTTGTTCACACAATTTTACGACTATTTCTTCTCAGATTCAACCAAGTTTTTACTGCACATAGAAATTTTAATACATACTTAGTTCATTTAGGAATAGATCAAGGTAAAGTTATATTATCACTTTTGTGATGTATCTACTATGATCTGCTTTTATATGCTATTAATAATTCTTCATATGGTTTCATCACAGAAGTCGAATAGCATCCTGATGACCACCTTCCTGTCTCTAATACTTCTCGTTTAAAAATTTCAGCCCTCGCCTACATGGATGACATTCTCTAGCTTACCAAATCCAGGGAAGATCTTATAAATATTTTGTCTATTGCAAACAGTTTCTTTACTTTTAATGACATACAAGTTAACTGATTATAATCAGAACTCTTAGTTAACACTCCCCAATAGCATCCTTTTGAAATTAGTTATGATAATACTACGTGATCTATCAATGCTTTTTTTTCAAAAACTAGTATTAGATACTTGAGTGTTTGGATCTCGCTTAAGTCCAACAAAAATTTTATTTTCAATCAGATACATAGTGAAATCAAGAAGGCTGTTACCATTATAAAGCATAAACGCCTTACAGATTCACAGCTGATTTACATTTTTAATACCATTCTCCTTCTGAGAATTGAGTACAGGTCTCAACTCACGTTACCGTCTGAATCATAATGCAAAAACTTTGTCACTACTTACTTAGCCTTTGTAAAAAGAAAATTGAATCTTTCCAGATCTACTCTAACAGACTTATTCCATTCACATTATTTTTACAATTTGACTTCGCTTTATCAACAACTAATCTAGTACTTTAACAATACTCTTTTACAAATATCCAATAAAATGAACATACTTGAAAAATGATTTTATTTACATACCTTTCAACTTCAATAAAATGAATGGCTCTTTAATAATCCTCTTTTTTATTGACCTTTTTTGAAAATAATACAAGCTGATGATTAGCTCCTAACCCTTCTTGTAATCTCAATTTAATGAATCTCAAACTTAATGTATCTCCAGTTCTATCAAACAGAATCTTAGAAGGGGATTCTCCAATTTCTGAATTTATACTTAATGGTTACAGGAAACATGCTTCTGGTTTAAGAAAATTCTCGCTGCTTTTTATGAAGTAACTTACTAACTATCAAGGAAACTATATGTTTACCTTTCATGATTTTTATATTATCACACATCCAATTATCTGTAGTTTTCAAACTCCAAGCTAGTATAAGGTCTTAGAACTTCATCTCAATCCTGATCAAGACAGAAGATTATCATCTACAAATACTTTCAAACACAAATACTATTACAGTTATTCTATTATATGTCCTACCTATTCCTAGAGTTCTGAATGAGTCAAGTTGAGTCAAATTTAAGGATCAACTCTATTTAACTCATTTTTTTCAAATCAAGTTGAATCAAATTTATTTTATAAAATTTTTTAACTCAACTTGATTCGAGTTATATAAATTTTAAACTTAACTCAATTTGACTTGACTCGAGTTTAACTCGACTCAATTTTGACTTGAATTTATTTGAGTTGAGTCAAATTCAAATCAAGTTTTAAGCAAATTTAAATTAACTTATAAATATTTAAATATAAAAAATTTATTTTAAATTATATGATATTATAAGTTTTATATATTATTTTATTTAAATAAAAATCATAAAAAAAAATAAAAATAAAATTAAAAAACACAAATAAAAAAATTTTATTTTTTCTTTAAAATAGTTTGCTACTAAGATTTAAGATACATATATGCTCTAATTGTTTCTGCTAATAAATTACATCTTTTTTGTGTAATTAGATTAGTTACTTTAGAAAATGCTTTTTCTTCAGAATACTAGTAGCTTAAAAATAAAAATAAATTAGATTGATTAAAAATTAAAATTATAAAAGTTTCATAAAATTTTAAATTTATTTACCTGAAATAGCTAAAAAATCTCTTATCATTTTTGCTAAATAAGAATATTGTGATTTATTTAACTAAAAAAAAATAAAATTAATAAGCTTAAAAATAATATAAAATTATTAATAAAATTTATAATAAATTAGTTTTTGAAGATGCAAGTGAAGCATTAAATAATGCTTTATTTCATTAATATTTTCTACATGTTATCTTTTATATATATGATTTAATAAATCAACTTCTTCAAAACTTTATTTGGATTTTCTAAATCTATCATCAATGGTATATAATACATATTGAAATTAGGATTTTTAATCGAATTGAGTAAGATCGATAATTGATTGTTTCAATTAATTTGTTGATCGCAGAATATTGCCATCGATCAAATTGGACTAACTTTAATTGATTTTTAATTGATTAAATTTTTATGAATGATCGATTAACAATTATTATATTTGATTGATTATGTCATTATGATATAATATAGCATATAAATAAACAATAAACAAAACTAAATAATATCATTATTAAAAAAAAAAAAAGAAAAAAAAATTCCTTTTAAAGTTCAATGACATTCGTAAAAGGAGGAAAAAATTTTTTTATTCTTAAGATATAGCAACTGGTCTTTTAACATTAAAGCTTTTCAAATAAAATAGTCATAGTTGTAGCATTATTCATTTTTTTGTCATAAAAATGCATTTCAAAGTATCAGATTTTTATTTATAATATTTAAATTTTTAAATATCAGATAATCATCACAATATGTTTAATTTTAACATGAAAAATTCAAATTTATTTTTTTAATATCCTTTTAAAATGCCAGACCAGAATAGAAAACATAAATGCTAAACTAATATTATTTTGACCTGATTAACTAAAAAGAAAAATATTGTTGATTTATCTTCAGATATTAATTAGCAAGAACATCAGTGGGTTGAACTTGGAAATAATAAAACAAGTTAGATATAAAAGCATTTTAGAATCAAAACTGACGGACATGCTTATTGCAGATATAAAATATTAAAAAATGGAATAGAAGAAGAGTGTAATTATAGTTGCATGTATAATACTCAAACTAACACTCAACAACATCATTTAAATTCTGTTCATAAAGAGTTTAAAAAAGAAAAATTAGTAAGACAACATTATCATTACGCATTTTTATTACAGATAGATATATATTAAATTAATATATTATTTTTACTTTTTAGAAACAATTAAAAGTAGATGATCAAATAAAATAGTTATGCTACATAAAGAATCTAAGCAACGTAAATTAAAGAATGCTTTGGCTGATTGGCTAGTAACAGATTCTCAACCTTTTAATTTAGCAAATGGAGAAGGATTTTTACATATGATTAATAAGCTTGATCTTGCATTTAAGCCACCATGTTATGTAACGATCAAAAAAAATATTGGTTATGAATATCAAGTTGCATTTCAGGCTATAAAGGAAATGATTACTCATACCTGTAATACAGCAGCTATAACTACAGATCTTTGAACATTTCATGCAAAATCAGGTTATATTGGAATTACATGTCATTGGCTTACAGAAAATATGGAATTATATGATATATTAATTTGTGTTGCACTAATTAATTATTTTCATAATGGCAATAATATCTGCCAAACTATTTTAACTAAACTTCAACTGCTTGGATTAGATAGTAAAGTAAATGTAGCAATTACTGACAATGGTAGTAATATGATTAAAGCTATCCATGAATGGAATGGTGTTAATCATATTCCATGCAGTATACATACATTGCAGCTTTATGTTATTAAAGGGTTAGAAAAAATTAAATTATGTACCAAACGATTTAAGGAATTAATTTGATTTTTTAATTCTCCAAAACAAAATGAATGATTAGAAGAGGCTCAGAAAGAAATTGCATCTATATATGATATACAACTAGAAAATGATTAAATTTTATTTGATTTAACATCAATTGATCAACATCCATTAAAAATTTTGTGAACTATTAATGATGTCAAGACCCAATGGGGATTATTTTTAGCTTCTTAGAAAAGATTACAAGTATTAAAAGATCCTATTAAATAGGTTCTTTTAAATTTATGTCTAGAAAATGAATTTAAAAAAGATTATGAAAAATTAAGAACGCGAATTCTTTTAGATTATGAATGGATTTTATTAAAAAAATTAATTGTTCTTTTTAAACCAATTGAAGAAGCAATAGAATGGTTAGGTGGTCAAAAATATTGTACACTTTCTTTAATATATCCATCTATTTATGCATTATATTATGATTATATACTAAATATAGATAATAATATTATTAACGAAAGTAGTAAGTATAATATTTAAATAATTAAAATAATTAAATTATATTTATTAATATTTAAATTCTTTTTTTAAATAATAATAATATTACTATAGATGAGGATTCTGAAGATAATAAAAGTGTGCTTGATGATAAAGAAAGTGATGATAATAATAATAAGAAACAAATTTTTTCAAATAATACACAAATGTCTTTATCAGAAATTAATAATATTATTAATTCTATCAAAAAAGCAATATATGACGTGCTATTTGAATATTTTAATTCACCTAGCCTTTTAGATTCAAGATTTAAAAAAATGTATGAATGACCTGAAGAAGTGTGTGAAATGGCAATATTTTCATTAAAGAGAGAATATCATTTATTAAAAAATGAAGAAACTGTTATGTCTCAAATAAATTCAAGAAATAATTATCCAACAGGTGGGTTTAAATCACATTTATTTGGATCATATGAAATAGATGAAAAAGATGATGAAATCAATTGCTATTTGGATAATTTTAGAACTTCACAAGCTATACCTAAAATGGATCCATTTCAATGGTGGATTGATAATAAAAAGAAATTTCTAACTTTATTTAAAATAGCTAGAAAATATTTGAGTGTATCAGCCACATCTGTTCCAAGTAAGTGGCTTTTTAGTGATACTGGAAATCAAATTACTAAAGATCAGACTAGTTTAAAACCAGAGACTGTTAATGAATTATTGTTTGTAAAATGAAATAGTAAATATTATAATCCTTTTGTATAATTATATGTTGGCAAATTAAAGAGATTTTAGTAGTTTATTATATGTAAATAAAAAGTTTAATTTATCAAGTTTGCATTTCATTATAATTTATTAAGTTTAATATTCAACACCTTTTGCAAAAGTGAAATAGTTTTTGTAAGTTGAAAAATGGGAAATTTATTAAGTCATGATAGAAAAAACCTTTGTATCATAATAATTTATTAATAATTCATATTTTAATCAATTACTAAATTATACATGAGATGTTAATAACTATTGATAATAGAAAACAAAAATGTTTTCTTAAAAGTAAATTTTGAAAGAATTAGTAAATTTTGTATTAACAAAAAAAACACTTATCCTTTGGAAAGATGATTTTGTGATAATGCTCCCTTCAAAATTGAGTAGACAGATATAGTTCTAAATAAAAAATAAATAAATAAACACATTATTTTATTAATAGCATCAAAAATTTTGACATGTTATACGCTCTAATTAATCAAACTACAGTCCCCGCCGAAAGTAATGGCGGTGGGGATATTAAATAATATTTTGGTCACAGTTTCTCCGGTGTTCCGA